TTCTTGTCATTCGTTCTGCAAACATTCACATGTGGTGCTGAACCTCTATGGCTGAAGTTGCGGTGTTCATAGGTCCATCATTACTCATCATTATTCGGTAAGAAAAGGCTAGAACATAGGTTATGACGTGAACTGCTAAATGCTTCGCAATTCTGGTCAGTGAGAAGAGGTCAGATGTCAGAAATCAAGGTCTGTTTTACTGCTTTTGCAACCCAGTGTAGTGCTGTCTCGAAGCCTCATAGGTGTCTAAATGTTGAACAACAGTTTGAGGCTCCAAAATTTTATTTCAAAAAGCTTCCAAAAGACTTAATATCGAAAGCTTTCCAAAATATCTTGCAATATTTCGGTGCTTAGCACCTTCGTCAGGCCTGAAATAGCACTTCTTGCTCAAGTCGGACAATACTTGCCTACCAAGCGCACAGTCGGGGTGAATCCTGGATCGTTCGTCGTCCAAGCCAGCTAAGTCTTCCATCACTTCTTGTTCGTTGATTGGGGCCACTCTTGTTTGGGGGGGGGGGGGGATAAAAACATACACTTCCACTTCTGTTGGCCTACGCAACTTATTATTACTTATCAGACAGCATTCAAAATCTCTCCACGATCTTGAACGGAATTGGAGTGCGTGGCGCATTCCAAAATGTTCTGATCAGCGACGAAACGTTATGCTCTGTTTTCAATAAAATGATTATGTTTGGTAGACATAATCGCATTGATGATCACCACTATGCTTAGGAAATGGTTTTATTATACAAATATGAAACTTCAAAAAGTAAGGCATACAAAGGCATAAGCACTGTTATGTAGAGATCACCTGATTTTTTTTCGTGAACCAAGATTCTGTGATGACCTCACTTCCTCTCTACGTAACCTAAATTTACGGTGTTACTATCTTATCAGCGTTGGCCCGTAGAAGCCATGTACCAGTCCATGGCATGCCGGAGTTCACTCTATGAACCTTTTTATTGATATAAGCCTCTTTTGGGCCTAGCTTTTTTCCTTTTTTCGTGTCCAACAGCGTATCCATCACTTTTGCAAATCCTGCATGAGGCTTGTTATCCTCTCAATTTTACATTGTAGCTCATATGTCATTATTCTATCTATTCGTATATTGTTATTCATCGCCCCTTCTTAATTGGATCAGTGACTGCATTGCTGTACGTCTAGAGCAAGGCCCCATTCAGGGCTGTGCTCTCTTTAACACTGAAGGATATGTGAAACTCCGTTTGGGCACGTTTTGACCTTGAAAACTCTTTGAAATCCTAAACATGGCGCAAGGTTAAAGAATTCATCGTTCACTATTCCAACGTAACGCATCATCGGTCTCAAGGCCGGCGTCGTCTCAGGACACCCACGTGAAATATTAAAGTCGAGAGATGCATAAAGTCACCTTAGGTTCACTATTAGAGTAGGTATCTGCAACAGTTAGTGCAATGATCAACGAATAGATTTACTAAGCTTGTAAACGATGATAGAGAAACATGCGCGTTGCCGATTTACCGCTGTGCTGTTCATTCTGTGCTATTCGTTGACGCTCTCGGTTATACAATACTAATTTCAGATGGCTATTCTTCTTCTTCTGCTCTTGGTCACGGGTGCCCATTCGTTCTCGTGCAAGGACCAGAACAATAAAGATGTCGATTGGTACGATGTTTAGTCTAGAATATAGGAACGCCTTCAAATAAAGGCGATTAAGCACCCCACCGTGGATGTTCAGTTTCAGAAAATCGCTCTAACTTAGGCAACACTTTTCTTCACGTTCCAAATTAAGCCAAAATCATGTTATTGTCGCCTTCAAAGGCAGTCCACTCCGCCGTACAGGAGTCTGTTCAGGGCAAGCTGCGGTTTTTTAAAACGGCTTTTGACATATGAAAAAATTGAAAAGAAATTCCGCTACAGAATAGGTAGTAGCAGGCAGCCAACTGGTGATGGGAAGCAGCACCCACATGAGCTGAAGTCGACAGGTTCCTCTCCTTTCAAGGACGTGAATGTGGGTCCTCGGCTCTCCACTCGTAGGACATTATCTCCATGGCTGGAGCGATTCCAAGGACATGGACGTGGTGGGAGATGTTCTATGAGATCGAGCTTTGGATTCCATAAATCATCAGGGTGATCCGCCAAAAGCGCTTGACGGAACTAGGAGGCGAAATGGACTGCCTGTTAAAATAAATCAAAGAAAACGTAGAAGAAAACAAAAACACAGACGCCTATGTTCACAAAGATAAGGAGGATATGTTAAGAGCTACATGATTGATAGGGAGAAACTGAATTCCCAACGATGACCCACGAAGTCTTCAAGGATTAGATTTAGACATTGCAGGACTTACCACCGCTGAAAGATAGACTAGCGCATTAGAGCGGCCCAGCAGAGTGCGCTTGATACGTGCTTCTGAGGCATCTCGCCCAAAAATGACGTCACATTTACTTTCTGTAGAAAACGCTGCTCCATTTCAGCCTTATTTGAAACAGTCATCTACCTGCTTGGATTGCGCTTTCAGGCTTGTGAGCCAAGCTAATTTATCGTGCTTCTTTAGGACTTTATTGCAGCGGACGGGTGCCTTCGCTGACAGCTGTACGAAAGGATTTGATCATTAGGGAACGGCAAGCTTTTCTTTCAAATCAGGTGCCAAGTCTCATCCGCTCTTTCCCTTCGCTGATAAGATTTCGAAAACATCCTTGAAACTCGAACGTATCGTATAATGTATGCTATACGAAGTTCCATTCACAGAATTGCACTTTTATCACCACAAGAATTGATCGCACATATAGATACAGCTTTACGTTACAAGAAACAATAGTCGTTTAAAGGACGAATTCACGATGAAAAAGCAACCCATTTCAAATTAACCTAGGGATGGTGAGTGGTACACGAAAGAAGGAAGAACCATGAGAAACGGCCCAGAACCCGAGAAATGGTACCCCTTCCTTGCCCGTTGATTCGAGCATTGATGCGACTCTCATCGCTGTGCCCTCTTCAACACTACGCTCTCTCAGCTATCTAATCACTCGCCACGTATTGAACTACGGCGAGTGATCAGATGATCGGTGGGCGGAGATCGCCGGACCCGCCAGCTTTGAGGCATGATAGGTCGCCGAGGTCAAATTTTTCCATGCGAATTGCGCGTCAGTTCGCACCCTCAGGAGGTCCGTGGGTCCCTCAACTAGGTCAGTTTCCCTTTCTTCGACCTTCATTCTAATCGTGAATTCCTCCTTTAATCACTTGGATGAACTAGCCACATCGATAAAGACATTGCCAGTAAGCCAAGTGGCTATACGAAGTTATTACGAAAAAAAAGCGGATTAATTGTTTTATTGCTCGCTCCACGTTGTGATTGATGCGACAAGTCACCTTTGTTTCGGTAAACGACAAAAGCGTCGAGCGCAGACAACACACCACACGTGACGCCGTCAGCTGTAAAATAGCTTTTCTCTTCCTCTTTCGTGGCCGTCGTCACTTGTGGTTTGTGATCTGCACATGACGCTCTTCTCGTTTTCCGAAATAGAGGGTATGTGAGTGGAGAACTTTGGGTATAGCACTAACAAGAGAAGTCTTTCAGGGCAAGCCGCGCTTTTTCAAACGGTTTGTTGCATATTGTAGGGAAGCATGTAGGGAACACAAAACCATGTTTCATTTTCGCTGAACGCTTATAGCAGTACCAAAAAAGAAGCATAAGGTACTGTTAATGGTTCGATCCCCCGTGGCGACTAAATTTTGCATTTGGGTTGGCGCCTACGGTTTGGTGCCAAATCGCGCTAAATATCAAAATCAGATGTCAAATTCATCGTCAGGACCATTTTGAAGCCAACAAGTGGCCGCCAACCTTGATTGCAAAATTTAGTCGCCGCGGGGATTGAACCATCAAGGTATCATTCACCACTTTTTTGGTACTACTAAAACCGTTCAGCGAAACATGGTTTTGTGGTCCATACATGCGTCCCTACAATATGCAAGAAACCGTTTCCAAAAAGCGCGGCTTGCCCTGAAAGACCTCCCTTGTAAGGTGGAAGCAACTGCCTTTAGAATTACTGAATGCTTTAGTTATAGAGCACAGCTCTTTTAGTGAGCGTATGAACCTCAACTGAACTGATAAATGACATGTTATACAGTACTGTTTTGCAATTTTAGTATGTTTCGCGAGATGTAGCCTGTTTCGGGGTTACTTGGCCCCAATATGTAGTATTTTCAGCCCTGATCACGTTCATCTACCACCCAGGTGCTATAGCATTCAAGAGTGGATGTAGTGTGGGATGAGTGTAGAAAAAATAAGCAAAGGAAAGGTCAAATTCACGTGTTGTGAAAGAATACATTTGGTGTTGCTCAACCCCGCTCGCTAAGCTATGCCGATTACTTTCTAGTCATGAGAGGTCCTCTTGTAACCGAATCACAAAGTTCCGAGGCGTGTTCAGCTCACCTCGATGGCCATACTCACCAACAGCTGAATATGTTCCGTGGAAAGTCATACCGACTAGAGGACATGCTTAGCTTACTGTGGGCTGGCCTTCGCTCGCTTTGAATATTCGTTGGCCAGCTCATTGACATCTACACCAGGGTGAATAACGGTCGAGGATTTCCTCGACCATGGCTCTCTACTGTGCGAGAGTAGTGCCGAGAGTGAATGTACGCGCGGAGAGCACAGACGGCTCGCGCATGGCGAGAGTGAATGTCCGCGCGGGAGAGCGTGAATGAACAGGCGAAAATCCTCGACGAGTCGTCGACAAATCATCGGCCATTTTCACCCTCATATACACTTACTCTTTGCATGTTTCCTTGCTTGAACCCTACAAGAAGCACCGCTTTGCCCACCTTGAATTGGTCTCCCTAATTCTATATAGCACCAATTGCTTACCATTGCCCATTTTTAGAGGCTTTTGGACGATGGTGGACCCAAATTGGCGACTCCG